CATCCAGGTACTGACCAGGTTCACACCTGCTTAGCTTCAGTGAGTTGCCAATTGTAAATTGCAGGGTATTGTTCAAAATATGTTTAACACGTTTAAAATACAATTAAATTGAAGTATCAAAGACTACATACAAGTGTTAGATGTAATCACCAGTTAATCTCTTATGTTTTGCGATACACAATCAGCACAGGAACACCAACAAATTATGAAAATAAAATAATTATGTATCCTAAAGAAATAGAAAAGCTAACAAAGACATCAAGTGCAAAATAAAAATAAAAGTACAAATATAAAAGTATATTCTGTCAGACATGCTATAATAAGATTTGGTTAGTGGCACAATTGTTAAACAAAGAGGGTGGGTTGTTAAAATGCACTGATTTTTTGGAAATCTACATATTCCAGTTATTCTTCAGGAATATGCCATAGTGTCTGATGTTATCCGTGAGAAAGTGACAGTTTCAGTACTGACCTTCCTGATTTTACAGTTGATTTGTTCTTGGATAGTGTGGAAATGAAATATAAGAAATGCAATATTAATCACATCTGTGTAACCTCTGCTTGTTCCTCCCTGCATATCCTTCTGGAATTCAACATGTAAAAATATTCATTGGAAATTAGTTTGGACAGCCCGCTGTCTGACAAACAAGGTTAAAGATATAACATTTAGCTACATTTCTCTGCTGAAGAGACCAGTTTGGTCTCCAGTTGATAAACAACAAGCTCAGGCAGTGCTCATTCAAATCACTTATATGGGACATCACACCAATTTAATACTACTTTGCAGTACACGATTAGCTTTATATGCTCCTTCATTCAAACAAATATCAGAAGGGGCATATAAACTATGTTCATCCCTTTCCATGATGCAGATTCAAACTGGGGTTGTTGTGGCTGCAAAGCAAAGTCCTGACCACTATAAAATCACGGTAATCTACCTCTGCTATGCCATGCCAACGTGGACACCTCGGTGATCTCATCGTGACCTAAGGAACTGATAAGTCCTGACTTTGTACATCAACTGAGTTTCATTAAATAGACTCTGCAGTGCTCTGGGTGCCAGCTAGCTCTCTAACAAGCACGCTATAAAGACAGGCATTACAGTTTGCTTGCATCACGCACAGAATGGCAATGCCCCGTGTGGTACAGTGGTTAGAAATCCTACCCATACAGGCTGGGTTTGATTGAATGTACGGGAATCTGGCTCTTTAACCTTTTGGTTTCCAAAATATCAGCTCACTGTACAAATAAGCTCCATAAAGTACCATAAGTGTTACGGCTTCAGCTGGTCTTAATTAACCCCTCATTATCCAATTTCCCTTACACAACCCTTCCGTCACGATTTAAACCCTCAGTTCACCCGGTAACATCGTTCGGTATTAGTATGTTTTCCACCTCCTAAGCTCACCTCTCCCGTTCCCTCTTAGTACCAGTTCTTCCTTGTCTGGACTCCCTAAACTGTCAAGAATGGTGTGAACAACTCTATGCAGGTCGTGTAGCGAATGAATCAAAAAGAGTAGGGTGAAGTACTTAGACATTTCCTTTTTTTTTTGCTCTGTGCTGGATATTGGGTCCCAATGGAGCTTTAGGAGAAGAGAGAATATTCTGCTTTCTAAATTTGGTTTCGGAGACTTTCGGCTTTTGACTTTAAGTTGTAAGCAAAGCACCTATGGAGTGGGATCTTTGAGCTGTATGAATTCAATTTTCAAAGGCCGGAAGAGGGGCACAAGACACGCGGATGCAAAAAGTGTTGTCATCTGCTTCCAGCTGCGAAATTCCGTTCACGGATGCTGAAGAATTTGCTTCCAAGGCAGCGGGTACAAGCAATTTCGCATTTTAAAACGAGCAGGAAAAGCGGAACAGCGCTTTTCCTTCGTGGTACGGGCACACAACAATGTGAGGAGGGGACCATAGTCGGCAGTATTCAAACCTACGCGGGGAGACCCCAATGGATTTCTAGTCCATCGCCTCAAGCACTCGGCCACGACTACAGCGAGCGCCGCCGCCGCCGCGTTCTTCCAACAATCTTACATGGATTGCGAGGCGGTGGCGGAAACCTTTTTCAAAGTCGTTCTCCGTTTAAAAAAAAACGTTTACAAAATTCAAACCTTGCAGACAGACACGCCTTAGAGGACTTAAGGGTGGCTTAATGTGGGAATGATAAAGTCTCCCTGTCCAGACAGGAAAATGGTACTTTGTTAGACAGAAAACAACAGAGAAATGTCTACAAGCATTTTAGAAGCCGCACCACGCCGCACTTGAAATAGCTCTTACATTAGTGTTAGACGCAGGAATTTTATTTACGCTCTTACAAATGCGATGGAAAGCAAAACAAAGTAAAGCAGAGCAAAACAAAACGAACAAAATAAAACCCTCACGTCCTGCACTTGAATACAGATGCAGCCATTAAAAGTGAGTGGTACAATCCCGTACTGCGGGCATTTCGCTTCTTCTTAGCGCGTCATAACGCATCAAACCGCAGTAAGTGATAGGCTGGTTAAAATGACCGACATGGGCACTCGTGGTGCGTTGGTCGGTCGTGGAAAGATTAAATCATTTAATGTCTTTACTGTGAAATAATGTTTTGATCCGCTTAGTATTGAATATTTATATGGAATTTTAGAACTAAAAGGAAATTTTAATAGCTGAGCATAAAAAGAAGTGGAGCATAAGGCATCTGAAGGTCATAAACGATATTAATTTAGCAACATAAACATATTACTGTATGTAAACTGTACTGTATATGGCTGGTCTTGGTAGTTTAAAGAAAAAATTCACACCAATCTTCCATTTCTCCCTAAACATTTTAAGCATCAAAGTTTTATGAAACTGTCCCCAAATATGCAATTGCTGTATAGAATGAATTTTAATTTAAAAATGTATTTAACACAAAAATTAAGCTGTTAAATTCCTCTGCCTGAGAATATAGTCCCTCGTTGCTACGCAACTCAGAAACATAGCCACAAGTAACTAGCAAAGAGAGGACATTAGCTAGCCAATATGATTAAGGAATATATGACTTTTTTTGTTTATTTCTTTAGCACATTTATTTGAACATTTCCATCGATTGTACAACCACTTGGAAACTGTCCAATCCCTAGTTCGTCAGCCATTTTCTTTGACACTCCGGGCATGCTCCCACTGGCGCTGGTCTATGTCTTCTAGGATATAACCCCGGCGATTTGTTGTTAAAATTGGCTTTCTAATAACGCTGCACTAAACTCTTGTTTTTATGTCCACTATAACAGACATAATCTCCCTTGCTTTTAACCGAGCATTTAGTAATTTCTAAGAATGAAAATGATTTAAACTATGCGTTATCATGCGTTATCATGTTATCATTCAACAAGAGCTCAAGATATCAGAAGGAGCGCAACAAAGACTGCAGAAAAAGATATGTGTATCAGATACATGAGAATCCAAGCTTTTTTATCTATGCTTTCTTATCTACACTAAGAAGTTGTCTTTAAAATTTCTTTAGCACACAGTAAAAATTCAAAATTCTGGGGTGTGCGTATACCAGAGATTATGGCACGGCTTCAGAATGGTGATGGCTGACACCATCTAACACCCCTCTGATTGGTGAAAAAAGACCTGCTGATCTGTTCTACATACAGGAAGACAACAAGAATATGATTTTTTTCTATTCGAAACGTGTATTTTAAACGTTTAATTAAGAAGTAAAAACCTTACAGCGTACACAGATTTCTCAGCTGATCAGGAGGAAGAAAAATCACCCGTGTTTCGTGCATAAAAAGTGGTTATCAACTATCGAAACCTGTTTTTGTGGGTAGTTTACCGTACCGCGGGTTTGTACCGTGCATTTTGAATGGCTGCATCTGTACAAGCCATCTGTGAAAGGAGACAATTCATTCACTATTC